ATCATTCGACCTTCAAGAAGGTGCGAATCCATGATTACTAATCAAGTATTATGAATTTGGTACTTACGCAGAAGTAGAGTCAAGTGTTGACACAAATAGATGGCATGAGACCATCAAATTTGAAATGAACTCAATATATGAAAACAAGGTTTTGGCCTTAGTCGACCTCCTGATGGGATAAAACTAACATGTTGTAAATGATTTACAAGGAAATGGTCGATATGAATGGAAATATCCATACATACAAAGCAACACTAGTTGCAAAAAATTAAGTGTTGACATTGGTAAAATCTTTTGCCTGTAGCCATGTTAAAGTCCATTCGAATTTTGGTTGCAAGAGTTACATACCAACTATGGGTTAAAGCAAGAATCTTGAAGCTGAAATCTTCGACTTGATGGAAAAATCAAAAGATTTGATTTTATCAAATATGAAGATGAATTGTGTGATTACAAAAAGATAATGGGAGCATTGTCGCATTCCTAAGATATTATTAATAGGAAACAACATCCCTACGATTCAATCGTTGAAATAATGGTTGTTAAATGATTTTTCATGAAAGATATGGGACAAACAACTTGATTTATAGAGATAGATCTAGAAGATTGTTTAATTCATCCCAATCTACATAGAAGCTTTTATCTGGAAAAATTGGTTTACTATTAAGCGGTATGTTGAAAAGCTTCCAAACTTGAAACAACCGTTGGTTCAATAGCAGAAACTTAATATATGATTGCTTCAGAAGAAGCAAGAAGTTACAATGTGAATCAAGATGTTCATTAATGAACTTGGGATAGTTCCTAACATTGTTGATTGCATGCCATTGTATTGTGATAACAATAGAGCCATTGCACAAGCGAAGGAGCTAAGGTCTCATCGATGATCCAAATATGTATTAAGGCGTTATAATCTCATCAAAGAGATAATACATAAAAACGACGTAACAAGAAGAACGAATTCTCACAATAAATAATATTGCAGATCCACTGACAAAGAATTGCCGCAGTATAAACATGATCATCATGTAGACTCTTATGATATTAGATACATAAGTAATTGGAACTAGTGCAAGTGAGAGTTTCTAAGTGTTATGCCCTAGGTCTAATCAACCTTGGACATAAATACTTTTAATATATAATTAATACAATTCTCTGATAGATCTATTATTTAATTAATATTCAATTAAATTAAATGATAGAGCCCGTAAATTCAAATTTTGATAATTTGTTAATTACAAGGAGTCGTGATTGTAAGATACAAATTACATATGATTGAATCTTAAATCGTCCGTGGTCGTAAGTAATAACAAGATATAGATATCGTTATAACGGACAGACCATCACGTGTGACATTTCTTACTTATAAAGTAAGTAGCTGATCTCACAAGTTAAAGTGTGATAACACTTAAATGAACACGTGAATGTTTTGTTGTAGAACAAAATATTGGAGACCCGTTGAGAGATTTCACATAGATAACTATCTGAGTGTCACTGGTTAATCTCTAACGTTCGGTAGTAGGATTTTGACTTGAGGTCGTTATAGTGCCTTATATGAGGACAGTCATGTTTTAACGATGTTAGATGTTGCTCTGCTAGGGACCGCTAATATGGCATCGTTCGTGTTTGTCAAGAATCGTATGAAGGTTGTGAATGACTAATAGAGGATTTGTTACTCTTAAATAGTAAGAGATTATGATCTGCATTTTATTCAATTAAGTCGATAACGAAATTCTTGCCCAAGGTGTACTCATAAGTCAAAAAGGAGTTTTCCACTAATATTGATTTAATAGTGGAGTGAAAGATATGATCGATAATCGAGATTGACACACTTCCATACCTCGTAATTGATTAGATCATATTGACGAAGAAATTATAGTTTCACGGTCTTCGAACGAGTTTGGTTTTGTCATACCACGTGATATTTTCCGTCACATATATTTCTCTGATACATTGCTAGATGTCAATCTGGGACAGCGAGTATGAATTGATGATAAATTAAAAGAGTATTTTAATTTGTCAATTTTGATGAGATCAAAAAATATTTCACGTCGTTAGGTATCGTGATCAAGAACCTGATGGGTTATACACAAAAGGAGAAGTAGAAGATTGTGATTTTGTCAATTAATTAATTTAACAATCATTGAATAAATTAATTAATTGTGTTGCTTATTTATAAGCTTGAATTTATTAATTAGATTAATTAATTCACGGATTGAATTTAATTAAATGAGTTAATTAAATATTGGATCGGGTCAGGCAAAGCCCGTTTGAGTTTATATAAATATGACTAGGATTTTCAAAATTAGTAGAGAATTCATTATTCTTACTAGTACAAGAAGAAAAAAATCATAATCCTACAATCTTGTTCTCTGTGTGGATCACCGTTGGAGACTGGATAATTGGACAGCTATGGATGGTAGATAATGGTTGTTGGAACGAAAGAATAGCAAAGGAGTTTGTAGAATCAAAGCAAAAATTGCAAAGAAGTTTGCATATCTAGAAAAATGTACAATTTTCATCACAATTCCTATCTAAACACAAAGATGAATCTTGATGGAAATTAAAATCTGTTTTCACTGCGCATGTTTAAGTAGATTCTCATCATGTTTGAGGGGCTTTTTTGGGTTAATGGAATTGAAATAGTGATTTTTGAAGAATGTATAATTAAAAAGTAGGAAAAGTTTTGGATATAATTGTAAAATTATTTTATTGGTAGAATGTATTATTAAAAATGAGTTTGAAAAAAAAAGGGAAAAAAGGGAGTTTTATAAACAGAAAATTACCTAGAAACCTACCTTTAAAGATTGATTTTCAAAAATAGAGAAGATTAATTTTAATTTCAAAATTCAGGTGGTAATTAGATTTTAATAATTATAATTAATAAGAATTTAATAAAACCTAATCTACATATACGACCTATGCACTCCAGTGAATCCACCCCCATTTCAATTCATTCACAAATTGTAAGTAACCCTAACCATCTCTCTCTATGAGCTTCTCTCTCTATGCCGTCTCTCTCTATCACTTTCTCTACCATCAGCTACCTAACCCTCTCCTTTTTCGGCGCCACAAAGTTCATCAATCATCGCGACCAAAGAAGCAACACACCAGCCACGACTTCTCTTGCAACATCGCTTGCCGATGCTTGCAGAAGCAATGGTGAAGACTGGTGATGACTCGAGCCTTCTCATCAGAGATTTCTTCACTTATATATCCTATTTTACTTCATCGAAAAACGATCTGAATGCTCTCATCGTCGGAGCAGCGGCGATTTTTGATGGTTTTTTAGTAATTTTTAGATGGTTTTTGGTGGTTTTTAAGTTGATTTTGCGATGGTTTTGAGATGGTGCTGACAGTGTTTTTGATGAATGCAGAAAAATTACCAAAATTTGATGTTGATCTATTAGAATTCCCTTTAAATTAGTATATGGACTCTTCTCATGGTGGTGGTGTGCTGTGAGTGATTTGTGCAGTGGTGCTATGGTAATTTTTTAGGTGTTGTGGTGGTGGTAATTGTGGGAGACAGTGGAATAGATGCAGTGGTGCTCATGGTGGTATTGGGGGTGCGATGATTTTCAGATCTGTTTTTCTTTGGCGGTGATGGTGGGTTGTGACTTGATATTGATCTGATTACAGACAGTAATTCTGAATATAATTTTGATCACAGTTAGTCACACCGAAAGCAAAGTTGGTCACAGTTAATCACATGTATGCGATGTGTGTAGATTTGTTTGTGGTGACCCTATACGACCAAGTATGTATTTATTGTGACTGTTTTGACCAATTTTATATTGATTGTGACCAGTTGTGACCAATTTTGTATTGATTGTGAGTTGTGACTTGAGATTGACATAGTCACAGACAGTCACACTAAATACAAATTTGGTCAAAATTAGTCACATATAACACAAGTATGGTCACAGATGTCACAGGTGCAAATCTGGTCACTTACAATGCACCATTACGACCACTACAATTTTTTGGAGATTTTTCAACGGTGGGGTGTAGAGAGAAATTGCTTTCAAATTTTGAAAATTTTTCTATTAGCAAGTCGGAGCAGTGCCTGGAATAGTTACCGGAGTAGGTGCTGAAATGGTCATTGGAGCAGTTTGCTGGAGTGGTTTTCGGAGCAATTTGCCGGGGTGATTGCCGAAATAGTTGCCAGAGCGGCTATCAGAGTGATCACGAAAACAGTTGTGGGAAATGATAGCCATCTCTGGTGGATAGGCGAAGGAAAGGTGGCGTAATGAGGTGATAGGATGAGGTGGATGGCATGGGTGGAAATAATTAATGGATATTATAGTATAATTTAATATTTAATAAATTTATTTACCATCTGATTTTGAAATATTAGATTGAGTTTATTATTTATGAAATGTGATCTTTAAAACTATGAGTTATGTGGTCTTCCCTTTTATAAAATAGGACTCAAAAAGGAGCTTAGAATCACTTGATTAGCCTAATGTGCGACAACTTCGCCAAATTGCAATACTTCGAAGATTAAAAGATTTTAAGCACGCAAACAACATACAGATTATATATTTCTGTTGGAAAAATAATTAGTTGCAGTAATATTCAGAACAATAAAATACAGAAGTATAAAACTTATCGTCTGAGCGAGTCTCGTGACAGCACGATGTCCTAAAGTGAAATTGCCCGTCGATAATTGCTGCGACCTCCGTGGACAATCACTCCCAGGATACAACGATCGTAAACCACTTGTGCAGCAATCACGAATGACTTTTTCAGAACTCTCTATTGTACTCCAGAATATATGTAAAAAATTCAAGTATAAGAAATTCAGAATATGAAAAAGAGGATTGATGCAAGATGATTTTTCTATTTTCTTTTTTATGTGTGTTTTTCCCAAAACGAGATATGGTTTTTATATAGGTAAGATGGAAGTAACAGTCTCCACCATGATCAGAGAGTAATGCAGAATTTTAATGACTGGGTAGTGTGTATTTTAATGATTGTTAGTGGATTTTTACAAAAACAAATGATCAGAAAATATTGGCTAATTTTACCCATTAAATAATAATAAAAAAATATTTTAGTGAAGGAAGTCCAAGAGCCCAAGGCCCCAATCAAGACATTTTAATATTTGCGTGGAGAGTGACTCGAACCCCTGACGTCTCACACAAGTGCCACATTTCCTATCACTTTGGCACTTCATCTAATTTGATTATTTCTTTCACATTTTATATTTATACCATAAATATATAACAATTTCATCCTTAAACATGTACTCTTTTCTTGGGTATGACCTTGAGTGGATTCTTCTTCCTCAGAGTTAATCCCAACCTTTCTTGCATGTCAATGTGTTCGGGTTTGACACCGGCCCCTAGATCCCAGTCGAAAGCCTGGACCAAGGTGGCTATGGTGAGGTGAACCACCCTATGAGCCAACGGGAACCCTACACAAATCCTTCTTCCTGAACCAAAGGGGATCAACTCAAAGTGTTGTCCCTTGTATTCAATACTTGATTTCAAGAACAATTCTGGCTTGAAACTCAAGGGCTCATCCCAGGACTTTGGATCTCTTCCAATGGCCCAAGCGTTCACAAAAACTTGGGTGCCCTTTGGGATAAGGTGCCCCATGTAGTTAGTGTCCTCCATTGTGTTTCTTGGCAGGAGCAAGGGCAGTGCTGGGTGCAATCGGAGAGTTTCCTTCACAGCCGCTTGGAGATATGGCATGTTCTCGACGTCTTTCTCTTCCACCAGCCTGTCTACTCCGACTACCCTGTCGACCTCCTCTCTAACCTTCTCGAACGCGTGGGGGTTGCGTAGTAGTTCCGCTAAACCCCATTCGATGCTGATACTAGTAGTCTCAGATCCAGCGAAGAACATTTCCTGTAAATTAGCCATGAATCGAAGAGATGGTTAATTGAGTTTACTCAAGAAGTACTTAACCAAATAACACTGTAGATTATAACTTCAATTTGTTAGATGTTTTCTCCGCATTTATATGTACAGGTGGAACTTGAATTTTCAGTCACCATGAGAAACAGACTGTATAAAGAGAGTAGTAGTGAAGAATACATACCATGATAACAATGTTGACATTGTGCTCTGTCATTCTATCAGGCCCGTCCTTGCCATCGCCTTCGTATTCCAACAACACATCAAGAAAGTCTTTCTTTTCCTGGAATTTGCCTGCTTTCCTGTTTTCTAGCCTCTCCTGCACGAACTTGGAGGATATTTTCATGGTTTTGCTCATGTTCCTTGTCATTTTCCTCTTCATCCCGAGTGGATCAATCAACTTCAAAGCTGGAAAGAAGTCTGCTATATTTGGTGTTCCTGCAAGCTCAAGAATAACGTTCATACAATCAAAGAACTCCTTCCCTTCAGGATCCTTTGCATCCAGCAAATCCCGGGATAACATGAGGTTCCCTACCAAGTTAAACGCCATAAGGAAGAGGAACCTGCTTAGTTGTACCTGCCCGGTTCCGCCCTGAGCTAGTGATGTCGTTGAGTCCTCTTCAATCCAGCGTATCATGTCGTGCATAAGCCTCATTCTCAACTCAATCGTCTCGTTCATTCTCCTGTTCACCAAGAATTCCATGGAACAAAGCCGCCGGAGTACCCTCCAATGTCCACCAAACGTGTTCATCCCCAAAGACCCCGCATTGAAATTGAACGCCGTGAGTGCATCAGGCACCTTGCGGTCAGCAAATGGCACATCGTGTTTCTTAAACAACTCAGCAGCCGTAGCGGCATTCTGAACGATCATTGTATTAACCTGGCCGAGATTAAGCCAAAGGAGAGGTCCATAGGTTTTGCCCCAGTGGTACATGGTTTGGTGAGGCAAATCTCCCAAGTGAAACATGTTGCCAAAAATTGGTATACCTTTTGGCCCTGGTGGCTTGTCTCCTGATTTCTTGCCCTTCAAAAAGCTCAGAATCAGAAGAAGAAAACCTAAAGAAAGAGAGATGGTGAGTGGATTCACTGAATTCAAAACAGACTCCATTTTTTCAATCTGCACTCCTTTGCTGCCTTCACTTCCCTTAGATATATAGGCAAAGGCAATCTCTGCAATTCTATCACCTGTAAAGTGTACATTAATACATGTGGTTGAAAACGCCTACTTTCAGGGTCGGCTGGGCTGGGGGGCCATCTGAAATTAAAGAAAGGATGGGTTGGTTGCAACTTGCAAGCCATTATATTTGTCTCATTGATGTCGTTTTTTCTTCTCCTACATGCTTTATTTGGCCCAGATTCAAGAATATTTTGCCCATTTTTGGTTTCACTAAAATAGTGGATTCAAATTAAAATCAAAGTCAATAATTAGTTTTAACTATACATTTAATGAAATTCACAATTTTCCAAACACACATTTCATCAACTTTAGCACTTACCTATCAACAGTCCATTAGTGGGTCATTCCCACCCACATTCTCCAATGAATCAAAATGAATTCCAAATTTATAGAAGAATTTATAATTTATTTGCTATCACATAAATTATTGATGGATAAGCACCGTTTACAAATAACATCATCTTTATTAAATTAACTAATATATGTAATTTTTCTTTAGAATCCATCAATTTCAACTGTTTACATGTAAAAAAGCAAACCTAACCATACGAGAAGTTACATCGAAGATGAAATATAAATAAGTAATAGTTTAACGAACATATCTCACTTTAATAATCCAAATTGTTTATATTTTGGAGCATACACAACAAGAACAAGAGTACAAGAAAAGAAGAAAATCTCTATGAGTGGGTCCTCTTGTCTTCTCTAAATTGTTCAAATAACGGAGCATGGGAAGCTCAAGTGAAGAGTTGACAAATAAACCAAAAATTCCGGAAAGAGTCGAGGCTTTGCAAGGCCTAAACAAATGCCCAGTTTTTGTGGGCACACGGCACTGTGATTGAATGTTTGTGGAGAAACTACAAAAAATTTGCATGTCCGAAAAGTATACTATTAACTTATCCAAGACAATTTTGTGGCACAAGGCTAGTCAGTGGTGCTATTTGGGTATGCACAATGACAGTCAATTTGTCTTGTGTTGGGCAGTAATGAAAATTGGATAAGTCTTGATATATACAAAATATGTATACAATCGTGGGCCCAACTCATGTGAGGGCTGTGGATACCCCTATTTACATATTTTATGTATACCAAACACAATCCCTAAAAATTTGGCGAGGTTAGCTATGAGCGTATGATTTGACAAAAAAGGTGCTAGCTTTTAGTCCAAATTTCTGAGTTACACTATTTGTGGGTCCTTAACTTATAAATTAGTACTTTTTTTTTTTGCCAAACATGCTCTATATGCCATGAAGTGTATGAATACGTAAGATATAAAGCATAGGCATCTTTTAAAAATCAAGTTAATTGTTGTCACTCACTATCGCATTCGTCGTACGTGGACATACATGAGACGATTAATAATTTGATGCATGAAACAATAAAAAATCATCACATTAATACATCAAATCGCAAATCGTTATGTAAGATGTCACGTAAGGTGACTACCGCAGTGAGTGATTACGAATAGTATTACTCATTTTTTAATATTTTTCATATGTAGATTGATGCTGGTTGATTTTGTCTGCTCGAATGACTAAACCTGGCCAATCTGCAATCTTGGAAAGGAAATGTTGGGCACCTAGTCATGTCTGGTGTAAGAATTAGTTAGCAGTTTGTATGAAAGAGGAAAATATGTATTAAAAAAAAAAGGTTGAAACTCAACTTTTAGGGCCCCCACTATCCCGCCCCTAGAGTATCGTGAGGGAGGTAAATCGCGGGATGTGCTCCAGTAGGTCAGGAAATAAGAGATTATCCGTACACTGATGTCCACAAAAAGTCTAATTCCATATCTCAGGAATCGAACTCTCACACTGCGGCTGTCAGCAAGGTTGAGACTATCTCACTCCTGTCCTTTGCACAATTGGATTATGCCTTGTGTGGGTGGGGGAGGGGGGGGAGGAAAATATAAACATACGGAAAGATGTTCGAGTAAATAAAGTGGTAAACAATTCAAAATTTTGCTTTCAATAGGACTTCCTTTATAGGTTCAAAAACAATTATGCACACGTGGATAGATGTCTCAAGGGTTTTCATTATTTTCGCCAGAAAATTACGGAAGAGAAGATCAAATACGTCATCAAGTCTACCGATGACACATATAATTGCTATATGACAAGTCACCCTTAATTTTAACGATCATGCAATCTTCTCTTTAATTGTTATCGGACATGTATGGTTAAATCTCGATGATGATCGTTGATAAAAATTAGTCTTATTCATCTGAATTCGACTTATCTTGCCAAATGTGATCTTGATCTAGATTCGACTAGAAATATTTCTGTTAGTTAGGGTGATATTGAAAATTCATGTATCTTTGCTCTTTCTAGTGGAAAGCATCTATTTTGTTCAGATAAAATTTGTAATGAATATAAATAATCAAAATTAATTTGAACTTATTTTACTTGAACGCAACTCGAACTTGTTAAGTTTAAAAAGATGAAGAAGAGCTTTGTAATTTGATCAAATCATTTGTAACAAAAATATAAGTTATGTTGATTCAAGTTTGAATACAAGAACACGAGGATTCTATTCAAATTTGAATTATTGAGATTTGAAGTTTTATTTTAAAATATCAATATTGTTAAGAGAAGTTAACCGAACATTTATGTCTTAAATCCGTGTTTGATGTGGGATTCAATCTTTAAAATGTTCCACAAGATGACGAATCGTTTGAGAATACCAATCTTAGAATCCATATGCTAATTTAGAATAGGAATTCACATGCTTGTTTTAGTTTTAGTCAGATCGAAGTGCTCATTTGAACTTAATAGGCTTTGGTACTATATTAAAGCTTGAAATTTCATCATAATGATCAATCTTATTAGGAAGAGTGGAGCCTTATATATTGGTTAATATTTCGAAATTTACTTGATGTGAGATTTATTCATCCCCATAAAATAATGACTCATTTGAGAATTTTAATCTTGAAATTTGTATACTCATTTGAGACTTTGAATTTATTTAGATCAAATTACTCAATTAGACTTAATAATTTTAGTATCATATTAAGAAGACTTGAAATTTCATTTTAACATCATAAATTAGGTAGCTTACTCTTTCAAACTTAAAATCAATAGGGAGCCTTTATATGATATTTTGACATAACATATAATTTATATATATTTTTAATCCAATAATTATGTGAAGTCAACTGTGCCACCTGTTAGGGGAGAGATTAATGGGAGGGGTAGCCGTGGCCCGTGGGGTTTGCAAGTTTACAAAATTGAAAACCTTGGAGCGCTGACACCGTCAAATAAAGACGCATTTATGGGTTTGGGAAAAACCCTTGTGACAGGGCTGGCCCATGGGTTTAATAGCTCAAATTGAGTGGCTGCGCACCTTCCACTCAGTTAAGACTTAAGACAACGTTTGACGATCATTATTTGGGTAAAATAAAATTTTAAAATAGAATCTATTTGATAGGAATTAGGGATTGTAACAGTGAGGGTCATTACCAGTTAGAGGCGGGGCGGGTCGGGGGCCCTTGTCCCGTTTACATACTCGTTTAATTTTTTTTATATAATTTTTGATAATTCATTTTATTGCTTTCATTCATTAAGGTGAAACAAACATATAGTTATTACATTTTTTAATTGATTTATTGATTTTTGGAAAAATTGCAGCCGAGTTTATTAGCAGACTTGACTCAAAACTTTAATTTGTAGCATCAACAGTATCAAACTTTTCAAAAATTCACATTCGGAATCCAAATTGACAGAAACCGTTAGTTGGACTGTTATTGACCAAAAATCAAAAGTCTGACCAATGGTTGATTGATTTTTAAAGAGGCAAATGTCTAACTTTACACTTTTCGTATAAAAAATTAAAATAAAAGAATTAAATAAAAATAGAAAACCAGTCATCTTTTCCTACCAAAACCAAAAAACCTGTTCAGTATCCGCTAATAAAATAAAAAATTGGAATCTCACTGACTTTCTCATCCTCGTTGGAAGCTTCATCGGAATCTCAAAGGCTGATTTCAAACTCTGCAACTCCTTTTCCTCACTCTCCAAAAAACCTCCAATCACCAAAACACGCTATCTCCACTCCCTCATCTGCCCCTTTAAAGCTCCGGTCACCACCTTCACAACTATCCACCACCAATTTTCCTCACTCTCCAAAAACCCATCGGTAAAAGTTGGAAGAAAGAAAATAAAAGCCCTTCTTTGCCCAGCGATAAGAACCTATCGAATGCCCAGTTCATTTTTGTGGACTGATTTTTAGGAGAAAAAAAAAAGATAAAAACCCATCAAATGCCTAATTCATTTACTTGTGTGAACACCCAAACTATAGCGATGGTGACCAGAGGTTTCGTTAATTTACTTGTACAAACTGGTTTTTGGTTTTGGTGGGGGGTGAGTGCAGAAGATGATTTGGGTTTTTAATATAATTCTTTTATTTTAATCTTTTATATAAAAAATGTAAAGTTATACATTCGCCCCTTTAAAAATCAAATAACAATTGGTCAGCCTTTTGATTTTTGGTCAACAACATTCAAACTAACGATTTCTATCAATTTGGACTTCGGGTGGGAATTTTTGAAAGGTTTGATACCGTGGATGCTACAAATTAAAGGTTTGGATCAAGTTTGTTAATAAACAAAACGTTTGGTTCCTAGGCTGCAATTTTTCCTTTATTTTAAAAGTTAAATTGTTCAAACATATTTGATAAATTAAGGTTTTTATTATTTATCATATTCTTTAGATAATTTTAGTTGCCATCTTTTATTAAAATTAAAGAAAATTTGTGAATTTTTTTATTTAAAGTATTGAATTATTAAAAAAGTAAACGGGGCGGGCCCTTGTTACCTGTACCCGTTTGGGACAAAATTCCCCACGCCCGTGCCCGACCCGAATACCCAAATAAGAACGGGGTGGGGTCATGCATGTATCAAATCTGACGGGTTTTTTTGCTACACTTGTTGTTTGACCCCTAATAATACATTTTGGAATAGTAGGTTGATGGAGAATATGTGGTTAAAAAAATAG